TTTTACTTTTTGCTGATTCTTTCAGTTCCTCTCAAAAAAAAAAAAAATTCTGCATTTGTTTACTCTCTGAAACTTTTAAGGAAGTTAATTTTTCATAWTCTCTCCTCAGTTTAGAGTTATAAACTACAAGAAATGTTGGTCTTCTTAGACCTTAATCCACTATTCCAGAGAGGATCTTACCTTAATTCCAAATCTTTTTCTTTTCAAATATTTCCATGAGGTCCTTTCTTCTTTTTATTCCTTTCTTTGCTTGGGGGCTTCCACTAATAGATATTGACAGTCCTTACTATTAATTTCTTCTTGCTCCTTTGCTTTCTCTAACACTTCCTGATGTATTTATTGAAGAGTCCTTTGTGTCTTGCTGAGTTATTCATTGGTTAGGCATAGATTATTTTTCTTCCCATACCATACCTGTTGCTCAGCTTCTGCCTCTGGCTGTCCCACAGCATAGTGGAGTACAGGAGGGAAAGAGAAAATGTCAAACATGCTTAACTAASAGTGGCCAAATCCTCTGTGCTAATGGATGCAGTTTCTAGGATGTAAACAAACTAGATTTCTAGTATTTCTGAAAGCCACTAAAAAGAAGATTTATAATGCATGGTTAAAATTTAATTGTTCATACTTTTCACAGTCAATCTTATTTGGATTTATAGTTGTGTTATCAGGGCTCATCATTGCTTCTCATTTCTTTCCTATGAGATCATCTTTCTTTGTATTAAAGAACATCATTTAGAAATATCTTTTCAAGAGATCTGTTGGTGGTAAACACTCCTTTTTTGTTCCCTTGAAAGGGTCTTTATTTAACCTTCAATCTTGATAAAATTTTAGCTGAGTTCAGGAATCCAGATTGACAGGTTTTTGCCCCCCCCCCTGTTTCATTGAATACTTTGTGTATTCACTTCCTTACATTGGTGCCAAGATGTCATCTTCACTATGTTCCTAATCTTAAAATTTTCAACACTTCACTGTTTATTATAGATTTTTAAAATAAATATCCTTTAATGGTAAGTAAACTTCCTTTAATGATTAATTTAGTAAGATTATTTTTAAAGAATGTTAAATTAGGTCACATATTTTGTATGAATAGATATAAAATCAGAGCTTTTAAAGTTATTGATGTATCTTGATTGCATTAATCACATCCCTGACATTAATCTAACCTTATATTTTGAAGAATAAACTTAGTCATGCTGCTTTGAATTGTGTCATGCATGCATTGCTCTATTCAGCCTGTTAAATTTGTTTAGCGTATTTAAATCTAAGTTAATAAATGGAATAGATCACTCTTTTTGCTTTCTTTTTAAATTCCTATATGGCTTTGGTATCATAAAATGTGTTTAGAAGGTATGTCTGGTTTTTCTTTTCTCTAGGGAGTTTATGTAAGTTGGGAATCCAGGTTTCTTGAAAGACCATTCATTTTTGGACCAGGTGTATTCTTTGTGGGATTAACAATCAGCTTTAACTCACCAGTAGTTGTAGGATAATGATGTGTTCTGTGATTGGAAAAGTATATTATAAAGCATTGTTCTAAGTGAACTGTGTTTTCTATAAAATGTTGAGTTATTGCAATCGTCTTCTGAAGGGAAGTAGGTGAAAGAGCAAGGAATTATCTGATCAAGGGTTATTACTTCCAGGTAGATTATTTAATATTGTTTTATCAGAACAACCTAATGGAACTCTTTGCCATAAAAACATGGACACAGATCATCTTTGAAGAGAAATTTTTATGATTTTCTATAGGAACAACTAACCTTCCATTTAAAAATATACTGTAGTATATTTATGCAATCTTGCTAAAAATCTACGTGAGATAAACATTCTAATTCATTTGATGTTCTTTTAGTGACTTCTTTCATATAGAAGAATAAAAAAATGAATATTATATTTTATCAGTTTGCTAAATAAGAAAGTAGAGTTAGTAGAGTTGTACACTTCTCTTATACTTTACCATGCAAAGCATTTTTAGTTTTAAAATTCTTTTCTTAAGTGATATTAAGAAGTTTCGCTAACCAAGTTGAAAAAAGCATGTGATTTGTGTATGTAACACATGTAGAGTGTTGAGTGTTTTGTTCTAACAACACCCACTCTACCCCTGGGAAAGGGCTTGGTATTCATTCATAGCTCTAATATCACACATCTGAGGCATTTCACTTTTTAAAGGTGAAAACAATCTATACCGTTTTCAACATTTTCTTGCCTTAATTTTGACAGTTCAATTTGAACTCCTGGATAAAAGTTACTTGCAAGACTGAAACTGTAACTTATTCACCATAAGATCTCTAGACCTGCAGAACAGAAAGTGTACAAAAGCTCTCCTCCAAGAATCATTTATTCTACGTGACTGTGCTTATCTTGAAAAACTGCCAAGTTTGCTTTTTATGCTCTTGGTGCCTCAAGTGGGAATCAATTAGAGTACCTGCTGTTTTGAATAGCAGATGATGGTGGAAGGTCAGAATTTAGACCACCAACAGTGTTCAACAAGCAAGTACTCTTCTAAAATGACAGTGTAGCAAGTTTGATTTTAGGTCAATATGCATTGGTAAACTAATGAACTTGACTAAAATGAGTCTTGTTTTAGCACAAATGAGCTTTACTGAATAGAAATAAAGCAGTTGTTCAGTGGAAATTTAACATTTGATTTTTTCGTTATAGAAACATTTTTGATAGAACGTCTTAAAAGAGGGAAAATATTGAGGAATTAAATCCTTAGGTCAGAGATCTGTCAGCTAATATAAAAATGTGTTTACAAGCCATATATGATGAAGAATTGGCCACTTTATTTATTTCCAAGAGTTTAAAATATTGCAAAAGAACAACATTATTTGGGCATTCCTCAAAATAATTTTCTAGGTATTTTTTTCTTAGAAAGATGCATGCAAATAAAAAGCACATTAGTTAAATCAATCATATCTTACATATAACATATTTGTGTGAAACATTTTGAAAGAGAGAAAATGTCTGTCACAGCAGATAAAATTAGGTAAATAAAAATTTTCAGACTCTTTATAATAGAATTTTGAATTTAGGACCTTACAAACAAATTTGTAAATCTAAATATTAAAACAAATGAAGATAGGAAAATAATATTTTAGGAAATACAAGTTCAATGTTACAGTTGTAACAGACCTGTTTTTGAGACATTATATATATATATATATTTTTTTTTCCCAATGTATCTGATAAAATGGCTCATAATTTTGCTGTGATGTTAATCTGTTTTGAACAAACCCATCAGAGTAATCCTCCTAAAATAGGTTTTTTACTTACAGACCCACATATCAATTGCTCGGTGTCTTCCTTTTTCTCTACAAATATTGGATTCCTAGTCTTTCCTGGTATTTTTTTACTTCTTCCTTTTTTCTTTTGAAAAAACAAAAAGACATAAATTCATTCCATGCAGTACACAGAGACAATCTCACAGAATTATTAACTTCCTCTTCCAAATTTTCAGTCTGTTCTTCACTGGGTCTTTTCATTACTGCTCTTCCGACTTTTATCTGTGGGTGATACTTTCCAAAGCACAGCGGGTGACTGAAACCAAGAATAGTATGGATTCCTGTACATATTACTATATCTTTCCTACAACAACAACAAAATTTAATTAATAAATTAGGTACAATAAGAGATTAACAATAACTACTAATAAATTAGAATAATTAGAATGGGGATGGAGGAAGAGAGGGAAAAGGGGAAGTACTAGGGACTGAATTAGAGCAAATTATATCTCATGCTTTTATAATCATGTCAAAATGAATCCTAATGTCAAACTAAAAGCAATAAATTAAAAACGAAAAAATAAATAAAATGTATGAATTGTTTGTTTTATGGGTTTTCTGTTTAATAGTTTCAAACTGTCAAAGACCATGGGTAATTAAAGATGTGAGAAGTAAAACTGTAGTGAAGGAGTACTGCTATAGACACCTTTCCCCACTACACAGGCCTTCTCACCTTGCCATGACTGTGTCACTTACATTCACTCGTCCTGTCTTATTGACCTGATCTCCAGCTTTGTGCATCTTTCTGGGCACTAAAGATTAGCTACTTTAATCATCTTTGAATATCTGCCATAGATTTCATATTTCTCTGCAATTTTTTATTTTTTTTTAAAGAGAGAGCGAGAGAGATAGAAAGATAGAGAGAGAGGGAATTTTTAATACTTATTTTTTTTAGTTTTCGGCGGATACAACATCTTTATTTGTATGTGGTGCTGAGGATCGAACCCGGGCCGCACGCATGCCAGGCGAGTGCACTACCCTCTCTGCAATTTGTTAACAAATATGAGTTTGAAGAACCTCAGCCATCTTACAGAAGTAAATGTTTCTGGGCTGGCTGTCATTACAGTGGTGGCTGCAGTGGCTGCATCTCTTCCCTCTTGTATTTACTCGACTCGCTTATTTTATTGTCACCATGTCTCAGCTACTTTATTCTAATATATTATATATATATATACATATATATATGTATATATATATATATATATATATATATTTAAATTTCCTTTAGATTTTCCCTAGAAAAATTTTATTGTATCCCAAAGGTGTAAAATGCATTCATACTGAGGTTAAAATGACTGAAAACAATTATAGAGAGCCCGTATTGTGTTGAGCATCAAGGCCATATGTGTTAACCATGGCACAAAGCATATAGCAGAGTTCAAGTGGGGATAGACTTTAGGCAAGGAGACACTGAATTCACATCACAGAAACAAACATGTATTCTTCCAGCTTGGTTCATATCAAGATATAAACAATGAACCGTGTGTATTTTAAAGAAATTTTAAAATATTTATCTTTATTAAACAAATTTTCTATATTGTATCAATCTATCACTATAAACACATTATATACTCTTTTATTTATGTTTAATATTAAGAGTACCTGAAGTATATTTTTATTCAAATCATTTTGTTGTCCCTATCAAATAACTTTCTCAAAAATTATTGACTTAAACTCAAAACTCTAATACTGTCCCCTTATTAGTTATTTTGTCCTTATTTGCAGCATGTTATTTGTACGGGATTATGGTGCAAGGTAGAAGGTGAGAAAGAATGCAAAACTAAACTTGATCCACCGATGGATGGGACAGACTGTGACCCTGGTAAGGTAAGTGATRAGTGTTGCTTAAATTTAATAAAAATATGAAATGAAACTTGGAAAACTTGCATTTTCGCTTGCCAGTTAAATATGCATCCATCTTGACATTGGTGGAATTATTTCCATGTATACACAAATATTAATATTTTCTCTATCTTTAATTTTAACTTTTACATTTTTTTCAAATTCATGATTCTTTGTTAACATTGGTATGTTTTATTGTTGTTCATTATGGTAATATAAAGATATATATATATATATATATATTTTTTTTTTTTAACCAAAACGTGATTCATATGTTTTAACTATTTAAATTAAACAGAAGAGTATGAATGTTTATTATGTTTGAAAATAAAATAAGCACAGATAATAGTATAAATGATAAAATTTCTCAGAGCACTGATGAAAGTTGTCTCAGCAGACCGGAGTATATTTTTCCTTGTCAAGTTAGCATTTTAAATAAAATATTCAAATTGATATTTGGAGATTAATCAATATTTGACTAGTATAATTTAATGTAGTTCATAATATTTTAGGAACTTGTTAGTATACATTTTAAGGTCAAAATAATTGATGCTAAAAAAATAATTGTCCTTTGAAGAATATGAAGTAGGTAGATGCCATATGTACTTATAGTTAATTTCATCAAAAGAAATACTTTCCATGATTTTTTTAATTTGTATTTTATAAAAGAACAGGGGATTTATTGATGAATTGTGAAATCAGAAACCTCACCTCTGGAGAGTATGGATATTTATTACATTTGAAAATAAACAGCAACATAAAGTTTACAGATTACTTACTGTGAATTAAGAAAGAATTGTTATGTGAAGTGCTAGTTTAAAAATACATTTTAATAGTGGATGGAAATACAGCAATTCTACTTCTAGAAAATTGTCATATGTATTTATTCATGTGCAAGAAGATAAATATACACACATAATACACATCCTCCCATGCAAAGAAGCCTATGTTAACATGCACTTTTTAATGATGAAATTTTTTTTAAAATATTCTTGGGCTCGATTGTGGCTCAGCGGTAGAGCGCTTGCCTAGCATGGGCGCAACCCAGGTTCAATTCTCAGCACCACATAAAAATAAAGACATTGTGTTGTGTCCATCTACAAAAAAAAAAAAAAATAGATTCTCCTCTCTCTCTCTCTCTCTCTCTCTCTCTCTCTCTCTCTCTCTCTTTAAAAATATTCTTAATGAGAGGAATAGTTACAGTATAGTTTATTTTTTAAATGAGGTAGATATACAAGAACTAACATGAAGAGATATGTAAGACATGGATGTTATTATAGGCATGTCAGAAAAATTGATACTAGTTAATACCATCAAGGAAAATGCAGTTTGTGTACACATGTGAATACACATACACATGTAGTGTACAGTTTTAAGCTCAGAAAATAGTTTGAAACCATAAAGTGCAAACTGTACTGTAAGTAGAAGTTATTCTTTTGGGAGAGAAATGAGATTGGGRAGTAGGAGTCAGGCAACAGGAGATGAGGGTAAATGCAACTTTTTTCCGTACATATCTGGATTGTTTGATATAAGGACAGAGTCACTTATTAGTTCTATGATTTTTTAATTTAAAAAAGTGCAAATTATTTAAGTTGAAACTATTTCTGAAAAGACCAGAAATGTTTTATCACCAGATACAATCTGTAAAAAAATGGCTCCTTGGAGGAAACTTCTGTGAAATATCTGTCCATTGTTTATAGACTGTACCAAATATTTTTCTATGAGCTTAAATAGAGAGTGAGAAGTTGGGTCTGTTTTATTTTTTTTCCTTAAATTATACACAGAGGTGTAACAATGTGTGTATATAAGGCAAGTCTCATGATACTACACTAAGTAATTTATTGCTTGAATTATAAAACCCTGTACCAGCAATAATTTTCATCATCTCCAAAAAGCAGTAATATGAAGAGATAACCAAACCTTCATCCCTAAGTCCTTAAACATCACAAAAGCCATTCGTCTTACTCAGTTCTACTTCAGCAATATAAAATTGCTTCATTTTTATTATCTGGCACACTGAATATCTGTTCACTGTGTTATTTTCCTTCTCATATTTTTGAGAATAATTTGCTTCCTTGAGATGTTTAAAGTAAACTTATTCTTTCAGTAATCAAAACTATAATTACTTATCAAAAGTAAATGTTTTATTTCCTTAAAATTGCATTAATGATATTCCTGGAGAGGTTTGTGTATTGAAATCACTACTAAACTTCTCAGTTCCTCGGGCCATGTGGGATTTTTCAAAGGTCCACATGTTCCAGCTGTTGTGGGAGCCATCCCATAAAGAGCCTTCAACACTCTGCTATCATCTGCCATAGTGCTAAGATATTTGAGTGCTTGCAACCCCACACTAAACACTACTGCTAGCTTGGTGCATTGATAACCAAGAGACAAAGCTGAGGGATTTTAAAATTTATAACAATATAGAGTTGTTAAATGAACTTTTTAAAAAAWTTTTTTTAGTYATAGTTGAATAGAATACCTCTATTTTATTATTTATTTGTTTGTTTATGTGGTGCTGAGGATTGAACCTAGTGCCTCACATAGGCCAGACAATAGCTCTACTACTGAGCTACAACCAGAGCTATATAAATCTAGCTTATCTACAAGTATGTGATTATGTCAGAGAAGATAACTACTGAATTCCATAGTTCACAATGATTTTGAAAATAGAGACTCACATATTATTTACAGGCAGCATTTTTCAAATTTAATGCAACCTGTTTGCTTTTTCCTCCTTTTCTCATTGTACCATCATCTTTGTACAATTTCTATCACTTTACAATTCATGATACCATTGTAAATATGCTTACGTTTATATTTTTAAAGATGAAAGAACTGATAAATAATCTAGTAAAAAAACCAATAAATGTATGTTGTTTTATACTTACAGTGTTTTCAAGGAATGAAGAGTTTAATAGCCATTTACTAGAATTTTAGACTATTTGAAGGATTCTGTGTAAGATATTTTTGTTATTTACTTTCCTCAATTCATATTCTCCATATTACTATCATCATTTATTATTGGAACTAATGAAACCTGTAATGTTACCACAGTTTCACTGTGTATATGTAGAGATCTTTTTGACTTGTTTCGTCCTCTTCTGTCTTCCTGAGAGAGCTTAGAGGATGATCAGGCTACGCTGACATCTCCATGACCCTCCTTCAACTGTGTGTTCTCGTATTTCCTAGACAAGACCACATTAAAAAAAAAAAAAAATAGGTAGAATAGAATTGTGATCAGATTTTTTATATCATGTACTGTCCTAGAATTGTCAATATTATATATTACTTTAGCATTTTCATACATCAGATTGAATTTGCAGATAAGAATAATTTTGAGTTTTTTAAACCATATGTGATATCTTTTTTGAGTCTAAGAAATGTAAATGTATGATACAAAACATGGTGCTAGAAAATTTATGGAAAGCATCATTAGGATCAGTTTTATATGAATCCAGTGGAATGTATTGCATAATAATTTAAGCAAAAGCATTTAACACTTTTCTCAGTGTTGAAACACAGCAGCCCCCTCTCCCCTCGTTTTATTCCAAGATCTGGTTATCAGCAAGGTGACAAATTTTAACTCTTAGAGTAGTCTGCCTTTCAGTTTCACTGATCTATGTATGCACATTGGCTGGTATATCTGTTTCCATTTTTCTTCATCTGCCAGAGGTGATCTAGTTTAAATTATATGCAAGTCTAGATCCCTCTCAGAATATTTTTAGTCTCTTATGAACTCTAGCCCAGCCTTTCAATGCCAGCGTGCTGCTAAATGGGCAAAGAGCTGTGATATGCACTCTGGGAAAAATAAACACCCTTCAAGAAGGCCAAAACACTGTGACCAATTGAAGTTTGACAGCTTTTACCTTGGATTTTTTCCACGAATGGCATAACATTGTTAAATCCTTAAAGCCAGAAGTCATGCAAGTTTTCACGTGGTCTATTTTTCCTCCTTTTTAAATTTTTAGAATACATCTTCTTACAAAATTCCAATTTATTTAATGAYAGTCTTAGCATGTGAATACATTTTGAATTATTGAGGTTTATTTTTTCCAAGCCTATATTTAAAACATTTCAATTTAAAAGAATTTGATTTAAATTTTGATATTATTAAAGAAAATCTTAGGGACTGAATTTTTGGTGCATCTTGATCTCCTAAAAAAAAGCATATATTCTCAAAATAAATCTAAATAAAAACTGCTGAAGGATGAAGAGAATTTTTGATCAGATTTCTAGAATTAACTATCATTAGTAATATTAATGTAAAGATATATGTAATATTGTATTTGTGTTACTATAGTTGACCTTCATTAAATCCTTATGCTTTCTGCTTATTGCTTCATTCAACCCTTAAAAAATGTCTTATAGGTAAAAAGTATTGCATTCGCATCTTGGAAATGAAGGAGTTGAGATTCAGAGCGTATCTGCAATTCCCTCAAAATCCTTTGTAAATCCTGCTTCTGTTGAGTGTAGAAAATCATTGAGGGATAAAAGGATCAACTTACTCAACCCTGTTGCTTTACAATCACTAATAGAAAGGTTTCTAATTTTAACTTAGTATTTTCTACATGATTTTGTTAACTTTAAGGTGTTTGCTGTGACCATCATCTATCTGATTTTCAGGAATTCAGAGAGATGATTATACTCTTGTCCATATCATCTTCCATGACTACAAGAACAGCCTCTCGCTGCTTTTGTTTTAAGTTAATGAAAATAAAAAAGATAATGACAATATTTCTTTCTCTTCTTTCATGGTTATCTTTCACATTTAATATATATAGAATAAGTGGAACAAAATGACAGAATTTCAGAGTCTAATTTCCCGTCTTTCAGACAAACTTGACTTTCAAAAGAATGTTTGACTTTAATGTGGACACTTTCAGCAGGAAAAAAAAAAAACATGGAGTGTCATAAGGAAATCATATTTCTTAATTACAAGGAAATAGAGTATCCCAAATTGTTGATTTTTCAAATGAAAATTGCTGAATTTTCTGAAATGTCTGCTTCAACCTAGCTAATTATAGAGAATTTTTACTTATTGTTTTTTTTTAAATTCTGAAACATGACTATGCCCCTTTTGTCCCTTTTAAATTGTAATCTCTTGCTAAAAAATAAGTTATTATTTTTTTTCTGGATGTGCAACCTCAAATTCTGCCTCCAGCACTTCCACCCTGTCTCTATCACAAGTACTAATAGGACACATATCTTTGAACTGCTTTGATGACAAGACTTTATTATCTGACATTAGTACTGTGGGAACCAGACCATTCTATTACTACGACAAAAAGAAAATTCCATTTTTTTTTTTAATTCCACATGCTTTGTGCTAGAGTAGACCTAATTCACTTGCATTAATTCCAATGACTGTTAGGCCAGTGATTGATTTTCAGTTGTGCCCTGATTTGTTCACCTAAGACATAACTTTTGGAATAGTGGTGTAAGGCTGGAGAATGTACCAGCAGGACCTCAACACCTGAACACCTGGCTGGAGAGTGGAGTGTCTGGAGTTCCTGTAGCCGAACCTGCAGTGCTGGGACCAGCAGTCGAGAGCGCACATGTCCTGGGTAAATTCCAAGTTCTTGGATTGGGGGAGGGTGGCTTTTTTTTTTCTTCCATATTGAAATGTAGAGTTTTTTTTTTTTTTTTTTTTTTTTTTTTTACCAATAAACCATGTAGAAAAGCAAACAGAACCCCTCAAACACTATGTCACTGTAGAAAACTTAGAAAAGTTCCTCGAAATATTTTAGGTAAAGCTTCCTTTATTAAAAAGAAAATAAAGACCCAGCCCTTTTGAAAATAATTAATGAAAGCTACAAAAGAAGATTTTTGTTGAGTAAATCAAATAATATATGTTTCAAAGTTAAGTGAACATTGAAGGAAACTATAGAAGTACAGAAAGATGATGAGAAAGAAAGGCAGGAAATGAGAGCAAAATTGATGATGATATAAGCTAAAACTAATGAAAAACAAAAACATGTTGAGCACGTGTGCAGACAGGGATTATTAAAGATCAGCTTGTTCAATGCCATCACTCCTAGAGAGGTCCCAGGAAACTGTGAGAAGGACATTTCAGCCTGTTAGCTTTGACTGTTTCAGTGTGGAGCCTGGTGGCACAATTGAGTCACAAGCAGTTTTAAATAATTTATATGAAAACAAGCACTTAGTGACTCTAAGAGCCAAAATCCCTCATGGGAATTATAGGCATTCTCTTTTACCACTAACTTCTGCCCCTTATTCCTCTATTTTAATTTTAAAAATAAAATGTGCATTTCCTATTACTATCAAGCACTTAATGTGTCCAAGCTTTCAAAAATAGATTTTAATATGAGGTGTTATATGTTTTTAATATAATGGCTTCTAATTTTTTAAGTTGATAGTTATCACAAAAAAAGGTAAAATTGATTATTTGTACTGTCTTTTCTAGGCTAGGTTCTGAAGCAAGGGATTGTAATGGTCCCAGAAAACAGTACAGAATATGTGAGAATCCACCTTGTCCTGCAGGTTTGCCTGGATTCAGAGACTGGCAATGTCAGGCCTATAGTGTTAGAACTTCATACCCAAAGCATGTTCTTCAGTGGCAAGCTGTTCTGGATGAAGGTATGATCAACCACATCTCTAACATCTTAAGTTTACTTCTAGGCTTGCAGAGTGTTCTACAATAGTACTGTTATAGATTATCTTCTAGATATTTGACAACTTTACTTTTTCTACCTTTATTGTATATAATGACAAAAAACACTGACAACAATATATTTTTAAAATATAGTGCAATGTTACTGCATATCTGTTAAAACAACTAAAGTAAAAAAAAAAATATGTTTAACACCAAATTCTGGGTGAAGATGAGGACAACCTGGATCTCTCAGACATTGCTGGTAGGAATGTAAAATGCTGAAGCTACTGTGGACAAACATTTTGGCAGTTTATTAACTAACTCAATCTATTTTTAACATAACACAGAAATTGTATTCCTGAGTAACAGAATATTATTCAGCAATTATAAAGAACTAACTATTGGCACATGCAACAATTGGAGAGACCATAGGCAATATGGTGGGTGAGAAATGCCAATGTCAGAAAAATACATTATCTCATTCCATTGAGATACTATTTTTAAAATGACAAAATTATAGAGAAGTAAAACAAATTAGTGGTTGTAAGGGATTAGGGCTGGTGATGGRGAAAAGGATGGGTATGACTATAAAGGGGGAGCATGAAGAATACCTTTGTGCTGATGGAATAGTTCAATAACTTGGTTATGGCAGTGGTGACACAAATCTATGCATGTGATAAAGTGGCATAAAATTAGACACACAAATATACCAAAACCAGTTCCTGGGTTTGCTACTATAGTCCAATAATCAGTGAGGAAACTAATTGAAAACTATATGGGACCTATCTATGCTGTTGTTGTAAATTCCTGTAAATCTTTAATCATTCTRCTCTCAATTTCTATGAGGTCAATTTTTCTCTGAGATTTCACAAATGAGTGAGATAATGTGGTGTTTGTCTTTTTGTACCTGGCTTATTTCACTTAATATAATGATCTCAAGTTTCATCCATGTTGTTGCAATGACAGCATTTCATTCCTTTTATGACTAAATAATATTCCACTGTGTATATGGACCACATTTTCTTTTTCCACTCATCAGCTGATGGACACTTAGGTTGTTTCCATCGCTTGGCTATCATGAATGGCGCTGCAATGAACATGGGAGCACAGATGTTTCTTGGACATGCTGATTTCTTTTCCCTTGGATATATTCCCAGAAGTGGGGCTACTAGATCATATGGTAGTTCTATTTTTACTTTTTGATGAAGCTTGATACTACTTTCCAGAATGGTTGTTCTGCTATACATTTACACCAATAGGCTTCTCTGGTATACACATCCTCACCAGCACTTGCTCTTTGGTTTCTTTGGTAATAACCATTCTAACTTGAGGGAGGTGATATTTCACTGTGATTGTGTTGGCATTTTACAGGTTATCATATCTAATACGTTTGTGATTCTGATCAATTAAGCACATACCTTTGTGTGATGAATGATATAGACAACAATAACTAGTCTTCATGTTGTTATAGCACCGTAGAAGACAATGACATATGCAGTTCTTTTTAAAAGTCTCAATTTTTAATAATACATGACACTTCAGAATACAAGTGGTTGTATCTGTTCTTCTTATGTAATGCATGAATGTATGACTAGGAGAATTGAATGTGGAATATCAATGAAATAGTGAACATTGAAAGAAAAGAGATGTGTGGTTTTAACATTCAGGTATTTTACATACTCTATGTTTACTGAAATTTGGCTGAAATTCATCTCTAATGCATATCTTGGAAARGGTTGGTCTCTTAAATCAAGACAGAGTCTGCCTGCCAAGTACTGGCACATTACATGGATCACTACAATGTCACTGTCTCGAGGGTATACGCCAGGAAGGAAGATTGGTATCAAATGTTCAAGTCATCTGTAGAACTAAATTAAGCAGAGGGTATTGACAATACGTTATAAAAGGAAAAATACATAGATATTTTATCTGACTTCTTGTTTGGAATGTGAGTGGAATTCTCTAGACCACTAATTCCTTTCAACATTATTCATATATCAGGGTTATTCCTCTCTTCAATGAAAACTCCAAAAAGGGAATTACATATACCACTTTTTAAAGGGTTGCAATTATAGCAGCTGTTTTTAAGTCCAAAGATATGACATAGTAAGCAGTCATTGAATAAACATAACCTACTTTGAGGTGTGAGAGCACACTGAAATGCTTTATTGCGGCTTATAATGGCATCTTAAAGGAAAATTTCAAAACCATGCACATTAGAGGCCATGTTCCAACTCCTCAAAATTGTTCAGAGCAGTATTCAGAAGCCACATGTGAAAACTGTTTGAAATGTTCAATCCTGAAGGCTCATTTAACTGTCTGTCTTCTCTTTGCAAAGTGATACCCTGTTCCATGCCTCTGGCTGTTACTTGGTATTTATAGAATCCCATCAGCATACGTGGAACCTTACTGAAGACATAAGGGAAGATCAGTGTCAGAGACTGTAAACTATTTTCCATTCTATTTATACAAGCTTAATAAACAGTAAAGGGCCTGATTGGTGTCAAGCCAATAGAGTAGTAATGTAGCATGGAAATTGCTCTGAAGTTTCAGATTTGGATAATCGTATTACTGGTGTTACYGAATACAGCTGCTCTATAGGAGGCTTAGAAATAGAAACGACACCTTAAAATATTTTGCCACTCTGAGCTTAAGAGGCAAGTGTTTAGCCATCACTCGATAAGGCAGTGATGAAGACTACTAGCTATTTAGGAATTCCTCATCCTGAAAAACAGTGGTTTTCAATGTAGGTATCACATGTGTTGGCATGATTTTTTGAGTAAGCAAATGGGTCTGAGTCTTAGCTAGCACATTTGCAATTGTGCATCAAGATAGAAGTTCCCATGGGGATGTGTTGTATTTCTAAACATCCTACTAATGGAAATGTTAATGATATTGTTCATCTTGGTTGTTCTTTCTCCATTTTGTAGTTTTTCAATTAGAAAATGTTGTATGCATAGAAATAAAAGTTAGAACATTGGAATTTAGAAATAAAGCACCAATAAAGATTTCATGCATAAGCAAATATTAACCAGGATGTAAAAGTAGGTAGAATTCTGGTATGTTCTTAGAATAACGAGTAGATCATTGCAAATTTATGAGTAAAAACGAGGGGTGTGCAAAACATTTGTCAGGGAGAATAATTGATGTGTTTATGTTGTGCCATAAAGTAATGAATGATACATTCTGAAAGTGATTTAAAGTCAGATTTCCTAAGAAAAGTAATATATATGTTTTATAAGCATCTCATTTAATATAATAATCATCTACTAGAAACCTACTTAATATTATATTACTCAATTGGAATTGGATTGTATATTCTACCCAGAAGTCATTGTGAAAAATAAAATTTCTGATAAAAATATTTATGTAACCACTTGTTCTCATTTCCTTTTATGCACTCGGTAGAAAAACCATGTGCCTTGTTTTGCTCTCCTGTTGGAAAAGAACAGCCTATTCTTCTATCAGAAAAAGTGATGGATGGAACTGCTTGTGGATATCAGGGTTTAGATATATGTGCAAATGGCAGATGTCAGGTAAGCTATTCTAAAAAGGAGAATATWTATGTTGAGGTACAATTGTGAGACCATTGAGAATCTTCAACGTATGGTGGAAAAATTTTGGACTAAGATTTGGAAGATACCGGTATAGCTCTGATGTGACTTGGACCTTAAGCAAGTCTGWTCTACTTTGGAACTCCATTTCCTCCTCTGTGCAGTGAAGATTTTGAGCTAGTAATCCATAAAATATTTTACTAGGTGAAAGAGTTTGAGATTTGATTGTTTAATGTATACATACAGGTGTAAAATTGGAACACTTTCATATCACAAATTTGGAAATTCTGTCCAAAATTCTAGACCAGAAATTCAAGCAATTCAGTTCTCCATGTCCCATGTCAGTGTCTACAACTGGCCAGGAGGCAGAAACCTATAAAATCAGTCTCAGTAGTCATATTCAAGTATTTATCAACATACTTGAATCAGCTGATTTTTAAATACATGTGCAACTTTCTTGTAATATATAAAAATTTTATTTGCTTTTCTTTTCCTTCTAATAAATATTCCCATTTGCATTTATGTCTCTTCTTCATCTATGTTTAGGAAAATAGAATTTCTGTTAAAGTGAGTAGGGAGAGCATTGTAGAAAGATCAAAGGCCAGACATAGAGTTTACTAGTAWTAATGCTTAAATTGTCTCAGGTTGGCTTTCCCTGGAAGCTTAACACAGGAAATTTAGTCATCATGGGTGTTAGGGGGCACTGGATTGGGCATAAGGAGAAATGCTAATCCTATGGGAAAATCTTAGGCTAGAATAGCTTTTCAGCATTGTCACCATTTGGAGTGAGAAAAACACACTTTTTGCCCCTTGTATCTACCTGTGTTTGGGGATATCACCTTGGGAAAAGCAGTTTTCTTTTTAACTTTTTAAATTTTTTTGGTAACAGGAATGGAACCTAGAAGTACTTTACCACTGAGCCACATCCCCAGCCCTTTTTATTGTTTATTTTGAGATAGGTTCTCATTAAGTTGTTTAGGGCTAAGCCACTGAGGATGACCTTGAACTTGTGATCCTCCTTCCTCAGCTTCCCAAGCCACTGGGATTGCAGATATGTGCCACCGTGCCCTGCTAAAAGCAGTTTTCTTTATGTCAGGCAATTTCAGATAAACTTCTCTGAAATAGAATAGCAATGCTTGAAAAATGAAAGAGGTCACTGAGTGGAGCAGCACTGAATCCATGAGAGCCTCAAGGAAACTGTATTCCTGGGCAAAAAACATGTAATGTAGATGTATGTACTAATCTGTGAAATGGGGTTATTAGACCTTTGGGCATTAACTTGTGTTATACACTCCTGTGAGTCCTGGGTGAAAACGATTTTTTTTTGCCCCCCAGAAAAATACACTCCTGAACACCTACACAYTAAAATTTGAAAATAGATACAACTATGGGGTGGATCCATCTGTGGTCCAATAGAGGACTTCTGGGTAAGGAGTTGGGAATATCACACAAATTAAATGCTTTCGCAGCTCCAAGATTCTGTGTTTTGCTAGCATTTTATAAAGTTTAAAGCTTTGRACCATGTAATACCATTGGCATAAGAAGCAGTCTTAAGATTACATATTAATTTCTTTTATTTTTAACTGAATATGGCAGCAACCCTAACTGTAATTTCTCATTTACCTATTAAAAAAATCATTGTAGGTAATTGACTGATACATACTTTCCTTTCAGAACTATGTGTTGTATAGTTAAAACTTTAACTTTATTTCATCATTATGTATAAATATGTCAGATTAGGGTATTTCTTAAGTAAATTTATTTTTCAAAAAAATTATTTTCCTAATTGTATATGCCAAATACAATAATCTTAATTGCTTATGGTTTTCACTTAACAGTGTTAAATAAGCCAGATCTTTTARAGTCCTTGGCTAGACATTGAAATTAGAGCAACAACAACAAATATTCCACACAAATGCCATGTGAGCCTGATGCTATAATTAAATTAGAATTCTCTGAAATGGATCGTGACTCTAACAACATTAGAATACTTCAAGATTCTGGCATTTTAATTAAAATGTTTCATTCACTCTTTTGATATAATTAAAAACATGCCTTCTTTTTCTGACATTCTTCTGTAAACTGGGAGTGTTTTGTTTTTTAACAAAATATATAGTACCAAAGCTGACTATGGAATTCTAAACTTGGCAAATGTAGGTCATTGAAATCAACTTTCTGCAGGTGACCTGTCTGGTTCTGTGAAGTTTGTGCTCTTGAAAGGATAAGGAAGGCTAGGCCCTCTACTATCTTACTTTCCCTTCTCCAGCATGCCATTGATACTCCAGTTTGCCTTCTCAAAGTAGTTCACCCCTAGTTTTCAGATTTACGTGAGCATATTTTGTTAAGTTTGGACACTTGAGTCTACTTATGATACTTGAGACTATAAAATAAAATAAAAAAATCATGAACTTTCATTTTTAAAATTTGTTACTATTGACTCTAGTTTATGCCTACCTTAAGTTTACAGACTTCATAATATCCTAGACACAGAGTAGAAAAAACTAAGAAACAAAAGTACCAGTCTTATTTACTCATTTAACTACTRTTTATTGTTATCTTACTATTTGCCAAGAAACAAACTGGGTATTATAGACAGAGTAATAAAGTCAGTTTTATTACCAAAAAAAATTATTTATACWTGAAGGAGAGATTTCTTTTCTTACCCAGAACTCCTGGAACTTTTTTTTTTTTTTTTTTACTACTCCTGCTTAGTGTCCCCTTCATCTGTTTGCAAATTTCCTGAGGTAGCTGCTTATTTCATTCAGTCTCTATTTCCCCCTTGAATAAGCTTTGACTGTCTGATTAGAGTTCTCCCCCAGTACACTGTTTTGTATCCTTTGACCCTGACAGACACTCTGATAGAAGGAAGGGATGTTATAGTGTTCAGCTTTCATGTTTTGTGGTTTTTTTTTGTGTTTTTTTTTTTTTTTTTTTTTTTTTTTTTGCTGTCTTGGGATATTCATCCTGCAGTTGGACTTTATAATAATCTGCTTCCTTTTCCATCCCAATGTCACTAAAACCAATCACAGATAAGGACCTTGTTTTTAATTATTTATTTAATATTTTAATATTTCCTGTAAAATAATTGGATCTCATCATAGTCATAAATGGGTAATTATCAGTCCATCTTCCAAATCTTGTTTGATTAGGAGGAATTGTCTAGTCCTACCATTTATTTCTGACAGTATTGACACACTAAATTCTACCTTTTGAGTATGCATAACTTGGAAAAATATGATCCTGTTTTTGCACATCCATGATTTGCTCTCAGAATACTCTTATTAGCAGAATTATTCTGGAAGAAGTTAAAAATTAATTCCCTAGCTATTTGTATTTCCTGATATCAGCTATGACTTATGAGAAGAATTTGTATTCATGTGCTCAACACTAAGGAAGATGTACATAGAAGTTTATTCATGATCCAGAGAAGAAATAAATGTTTCTCTTCAGTTTTCCATGGAGTTAATATTTAACATGTGGCATTTGCCTTCACCTTAGAAGTGAAGCCATGCATGTAGTGAAGAATCTCTGTTCTATGTTTAGAGAATTAGATTAATCACATTATATAAATGTGATTCCTTTGGGATTTATGTCAGTTTCATTTTTGTCAATAATATTTTCCAAATTACTTTAGAATAYAATTTAATACTTAGTATAACAAAACACTTTCATCCCTATTCTTCTATTWGGTAATTTTATAGATTATATTATTTGACATGAACTTGCTGTATGAGTTTGTACCAGGTATTATAGCATTYAATCTAGTTTGTCTATTAAATATGTCTGGTCTGCAGAGACTAGGTTTATCCTAAATTAGTAGTTAAACAAAAAAGAAAAGAAAATATTTGGAACTTATGATGTGCTCCCATTCTCTTACAGAAAGTCGGTTGTGATGGTTTATTAGGGTCTCTTGCAAGGGAAGATCATTGTGGTGTCTGCAACGGCAATGGAAAATCATGCAAAATCATTAAAGGGGATTTTAATCATACCAGAGGAGCAGGTAACTATTCTTTATTTTCTCATAATTAATAAGCCCTTCATTCTTTGGGGACAAAAATTAGATTGAACTTGACTTAGAAACCACAGCTTTGATTCTATTGAAGTCATCTGTAATGGGTAGTAAATGAGTTTTTGTGCTGATACACAATATACGTGATATGAGCCAAAAATTTAAACAAGCTTATTTCCCAATATTGAAAATATGAAGTCATCTGTTGTGCATTTAATAAGTTAGGGAAGCAAGGGAATAATCTAATTTGCATTGGCTAATGTTATCAGGTTTCTAAAGATCTTATTCTCCAATGCAAAGCATGTATAACAGAAAATAATGATTTGTAACAGCCTGAAGCTACCATTGAGAATATTAGACTTCAGGTTTTAGCTTTCCCTTTTCCTTATTTTTGGTTAATGTTTTTACTATAACTGCACAGCAYCGTGGAAACTGAAACCTGGAGTGGGGGGACCAGAAGATGTGGGAAATATTCCAGATATATTAATGTCAGGAATTATTCTCTCTTGTTTCCTCATCTAATACCCAGGGGATATAGGGTTGAAATAACTGTGATCTATGTAGTGTGAGTCCAAGCTTTTGGGTTCTCATGCTTACTGAGAGTAAGCAAGCATTTTGTATGTTTCTGTTCATCTCTTGCTGGACATCTCTTGCACGAACATTAACAGCTCTGCTTTCATCATCAGTAATATGCTTCTATCACATACATCAACATTCCTATTTTAAATTGTTTTCAAAAAGAACATCTAAAACCCTGAGACTAAGATATGCTAGTTATAAAGAACAAACCATTTGTACTTGAATAATAAAGATAACTGAATTCATTCTAGATAAGAGTTCTTAAAAAAAAATTCAGACACAGCCTCTTGGATGTTAAGTGTAACATTTTCCTATGCTTATTAGAAATAAAAGATAAGAGMGCCTGAAGAACTTGGCATCTAAAAATAACTAAGGGTAAATTACAGATCCAAATCTCAATCTTTGAAGCTGTGTAAAAGGTGATAAATCCCACACGTCAAAACCTGCCAGCACTCTTTTAGAAAACACATACAGCTGAAACAGGCTTTCAGAGTTTCGTCTAAGAAATGTAATTATAATAAGCTATAGTTGTAATGAGAGAAGATTTTTATAGTACGGAGCTGGAATAAAAATTGAAATGAAAATGTAAAAGTGCTAGAATGTAAAGATACTAGAGAAAATGTAGAGGTACTAGAATTTTAGGAGCATTTTTGTTTATTTAATATGCATGGAAACAAGTTACTCAAGAATACTGATGATGCACATTAACCTCTGGCAACTTTATTTATTTGTAGTAATACTTTACTATTACCTATACATAAAACCCCCAGAAATACCATTAAAAATTTAGTGATGTTTTTCATTCTGACTGCAGATAAGTGAATACTTTTTCCCTCAGTTATTTATTTCAAACCCCCTTTGATTTTATTCTATATTAATATCTACTTTTGTTTGTTTGCTCACTGTAGGAAACTTATATTAACAATATTTATWATTTTAAACTCAATGAGTAAGAATATAATGACCATCGCTGTCAGTAGCATATTGCCTGTTAYCACAATTTATTAATATCTATAAATTTAAACAAATTTAGAGATTTAAGTTAAAAAAAAATTGTATGAGTCCTTAATTCTATCACAGGCTTCATCTACTTGTGACTAGGAATGTTGTATTTATTACTCTTGGGTGTATCTTATCCCGATAGTTTATGGATTTCCTAGAATTTCTTGAAGGACGTGAGGGCTATTTTGATCCAGTTGGCCATGCACACTGTGTATATTGTGTGAGTGACACACAAGCAGACACATGTGGGTGTTCTTAGTCCCTGTGCTCTATTTAGAGTTTGCTAAATCATTTTTGTTGGAATTACAAAATAAACTTAAGAAGTGTTTTTTTTCCCCCTTGGTACATTTATTATGTCTTTCATTGTGACTTGCCTAGCCAAGCAATCATTTCCTAAAGCAATGAAAGGTAAATTGTATATTTGAGCCATTGTGAAATTATATATTTATCAGTATATACTGAGAAGAAAATGGAAATAAAATTTGTTATTCTTAGTTTAAAAACAAAGATACTCTCTTACATTAGGAGAAAATGCTCCTAGATTTTTTTGTTTGGTCAATTGCCACAGCAATGGGGAGTCAGTCTTATGTATTCTACTTCATGAAATAATAGCAATGGCTCATAGCAGAAAGAGAATAATGAAATTATACATATCTGAGTTCAAAACTTGGGTGAACTAAATACTGACAATACAGTGTTGAAAAGCATATTTTTTAGCTTTATTTTCTCATCAATTAATAGAGAAATGAAATGTAGGTTGAGTATCACTTATCTAAAAATGAAGCAATTCGGGAATCACTTATTGGAATTTTGGAATATTTTCATAGACTTTATCAGTTGAGTATCCCTAATTTAAAAATCCAAAATTTGGAATGCTTTAAATTCATAACTTTTTGAGTTTTGTACTCATAGATTTGGATTTGGAGCATTTCGAATTAGCGATGTTTAACCTGTATCATTATAGTTAAATGTACATTAACTGTGAGGGCAAATAGCATACAGCAGTTGATCAAAATGTAAAATTCATGACTTCATTATCAGTGCCATGAAGATGATGTTTGGTACTGGCATTTTAAGACTGGTTATTAAGTATGAGATCTCAGGTTTTAAAATAAGGTGTTTCTGTGTGAAAAGAAAACTCTCAAACATAATAATCAAATTCATGTCATTGATGTCACTAGCTTCATGTTCCAGCTTCCAAGCTAGATAGTAGCATCTCTTACATTCACACATTAAAAAACACATTCTCAATTGGGCCAAATGGCTTATTTACTGGGGAATATCAAATCTCTAGCCACTGTCTTTCTCTCTTCATATGTTTTTGCTTAATATTTTTCTCCCTCTCTTCTTTATAGTCAGTATAACTCAGATAATACATTCTTTTTATTTATTTTTATGTGTTCTGATTAGTTATACATGACAGTAGAATGTATTTATGCATTTGATAAATCATACATAAATGGAGTGTACTTTCTCACTTTTCTCATTGTTCATGTTGTAGAATCACATCACCCAGGTAGTCATATATATACATAATCTCTCTTTTATTCTACTACCCTTCCTACACCCATACCCTCTCCCCTTACTTCACTCCCCTATATCTAATCTAAAGTAACTCTATTCTTAGCCATCCCCCACCTTATTGTCAATTATCATCAGCATATCAGAGAAAACATTCAGCCTTTAGTTTTTTTAGGATTGGCTTATTTCGCTTAGCATGATATTCGCCAAATCCATCCATTTACCAACAAACACCATAATTTCATTCTTCTTTATATGTATACCACATGTTCTTTATCCACTCATCAGATAATAAATTCTAATTGAATGACAGCATTGGTTTAGATAAAAATATAAACAGATATAACTACTTCTCTAATGTAAAAATATAACTAAACTTATGGCTTAACTCAAACAGCAATTTACATATACACTTCTGCTTTGTCAGTCTACTCTTCCATTTTAACATCCTGAAATTCAATATCTTCTCCATATACTTTACTAAATTTATATGCCCAAAGATTAATAGTCACCTACTAATTATGACATTTAGCAGACTCTCTATCCTTAGTCACCTTTTTCTGATGTAACCAGACCTTTTGACAAAGTTGAGCCCCAACTCTACTTAAGATAGCTCACCCATAGGATTCCACCTACACCAAAGTAGAACAGATCTTCTCCTTCTCATGATATTTCTTCTTAGTCTTGTGGTCTTATTTATTTTCAATCTCTTCATTATAAACTATGACTCTTAATGAGGTAGATTCCTTGACTTCTCTCTCAATTTCCTCCATGGGTAATTTAAACATTTTCTTAAATTACCTTTTATAATTATTATAATTATAATTATTATAATTCAATAGTTGACTTTTCTTTGAAATTCCAGATCTTCCAGAGTTACTGCTGGATGTTTTTATTAAGCATTGTGCCATTGTGTTTGATATATATTGAAAACCTGAACTTAACAAATTATTTCCCACACCAGGTGGGAAATTCTTCTCTTGATTTACATGTTCCTGTAAATGATGGCCCCATTCTCACATCAGTTATAATAAAGAGCTGTGTCCAATGTTTATTTCTGCACTTTCTATCAGTTATCAAGGTCAGAATAGTTTTTCTCTTCACAGTATCTTCTGGATTTTCTACCTTAGCTTCTACCACTCCTGCATTTTAACATTAGCTTCCTGGCATGGCCATCCACACCTGTATGCCTGTCAATCCTGTGTAGTACTATTAGATGAAGCCTCTGTAAGCCAGATCTAATTACTAAGTTTCTTATAAAATTTGGTCCCTCTAAATTGATGAATTTATTGTCTTGGACATCCATTGACCATTTAATAGAGACAACCTCTTGCTTCTTCTCATTCCATCAGAATTATTTTATTCAGGGGACTGGGGTTGTGGCTCAAGGGTAGAGCGCTTGCCCAGCACATGTGAAGCACTAGGTTCAATTCTCAGCACCACAAAAATAAATAAAATAAAGGTATTTTGTCCATCTACAACCTATGTGTGTGTGTGTGTGCGTGTGTGTGTGTATGTGTGTGTGTTTTAAATGAATTTTTTAACTCAGGTGTTACTAAAACCACTATCTCATATCTTCTTAATATAGAGAAACTCATCATTTTTCTGTATCTGTCCACATCTTATGCTTTCTTCAAAGACAGGTCATCTATTTATACTTCTTTGTGAAACTTTCCTTGATTTGTATGGATCGTTCTCTCCCCTGGATCACAGTGATTTTGGCTAATGCCTATTTTTTTAATGTGAGTAGTATATGTAACTATTAAATGGAACTAAAAAATACCCTACCTCAGTGGGTATGAATAGTAGGGAATGTTTGGGTGGTGTATGATCAGAGACCAGGACAGTTTTAGAAACCTAGTGTATCATTTTTAGCAGGGGATTAACCATATTGTTTTATATATTAAGATATTTTTTAAGTTTTATTTAACTTATATTTACATAGCTTATTTATGCCTTTTCTTTTTAATTTAATTATAAGCTCATTGAGGGAAGAGGACCTCTTACCTTACTTGTATGAACAAATATCCACTAACCATTTGTTATTATTTTCATTACTGTCTACTTTGTGCATGTAACAAAATTAAAGTGTGCTTTTATCTTTGGTGCTACTAAAAGTAGTTGCATGTTATGGAAAATGTATGATTCAATGATTAATTAAAATAAGCTGTTCTTGGATGGAAATTGTGATTCTCAAACCATGTGCCTCTAATTCCAGCCACTGCCACCAGGTGGGGTATATGCTACCTTCTGTTACATATCAAACAATTAGGCATTTTCAGGAATTTAAATAATTGATAAATAAGGGACAACTTTGGAATAAGTTCCTTGATTTTTTAAAGCCTTAAATCAGACTTTTATCAATACATGCATCTACCCAGAAATAATAAAAATTTTTATTTAAATATACTTTAAAATATAAATATTCAACTGAAGGTAGGCACCTGCTGTATCACTATTCTGTACTAAGTAGAATCTTGATTCCTTCTCTTTTTTTTGCACATCCTTTTATTTTATCATATTATTATTTTACTTCAAGCATTACATTTTTAAAGTCTACTGCAAATTTTTCCCTGGAAACTCCTAAACTTGCCTTGCTATTAGCTGTCTGACACCTGCAGAGGTGATGTGAGATGGCTTGGGGAACCTTATGCTTACTTGTCTCCAGCTCCAGATTCAAAACCCTTTGCTAATCTCGCCAGGGTATGTTTGGTCTCTCTTGTCCTATACTTAATTACTCCAGAGACTGGTTCTGGCCAGCTGTATTCTCTCCAGCTGTGTTTCCTTCTTCTCTGTACTTTCTAACTTAAAGGAGTTCCCAGAGCAAAACCTGAAGTCATTTACTCTATTCCACGATTCACTGTGTTTCTAACTAGGCTATCCCATTGGGATTTTCCCCTGCTCACAATTTATAAAGCAAATTGAGCTTTTCTACATGAATTGCAATTGCCTATTTATCCTCAATAGAGCTGTCAGCTCAACATCTTTCCAAGAAACTTCTTCACTTGAAATGATGACAGCTTTCATACATAAGATGTTTTCTTTGCATAAACATTTAAATATCATAGCAATAACCAAAACCAAAGGGGGGAACTCAAGTGAATAAAGAAAAGAGATTTTATAAGATCTCTGGATTTATTTCATGCTTTATTAATTCTTACAGGTTATGTAGAAGTGTTGGTGATACCTGCTGGAGCAAGAAGAATCAAAGTTGTGGAGGAAAAGCCCGCACATAGCTATTTAGGTAACCTGAGTTACAGACAAAAAGAGGATCCAAGTAYGAGCCCCACTCCCTTCCCTGAGAATTCTATGATGACAAGGAAGTCAGTCCATTTCCAGTTCCGTGTGTTTGAACCTCCCAGGAAGCACCTCTTGTCACATAGAGCAAGAATTTCTTTCTTTCTCTCCCAGGGGCTTCCCAAGAGCAAAAGCAATCTGGTTGTCTCCGTGTTGGGGGAGGGGCCGTGTGGTATAAATTACTTCCACATGTTAGCCTATAATTTAAAAAAAAAAAAAAACTCATTGAACAATTTCAATATGTTTTACTTCACATATATGCTTATACATGTAACATATTTTGTTAATATTTATTTCATATCTATAACTTAATTATACATCTTAATTGTAAATTGCATTTGCACATATATGTTTATTTATGTAATGATTATTTTGGAATTAGGAAATCTTATGGTTTGAAAAAAATTCTTGTAATGGAAAATGGTTCCTTCTTTTCCTGTACTTCAGCGAACAAAGGACTTATTTTAAAAATGTGCAATATTGCTTGTTGAAAAGCTGTATTGGCTATTTTCATACTTTAGTTAGTTCAATTAGTGGTTTTTCAGTATACACAGGAAATGATAAGTTTTCAAAATATACTCTCTTATGTATCAAATTTTAATCTAATTACATCATGGTTTTTATAGTCATTATATCCACARATAAATGGATTCAAGGTGATCAGTTCAGGAAGAAGACTAAAACATCACTCAGAATATAAGCATTGTATTTATATTATCTTGTTAAAGGAAACACATAAAGACCTTTTTTTTGGTTTCCTTAAGAAAAATAATGTCCTCATTATTCTTCCTCAAGTAAGGAATAAATGTCCCAATAGGGAAACCTTTTTTTTTTTCATAAAAAACAATTCATCTTCCATAATTGTTTTTACTCTGCACTATCTAAAACAGTTAAAACTTAGATGGAAATCTTTTTTCGTTAAGGTTTGCTTTCTAGGAGTAAGAAACTTTGAGAAAAAGAAAACAGTAAAATAAATTCTTTATTATGTGACACACTCAATCTTTGTTATTGGTGATGTGTAATTTTTATCTGCTCTACCTAGTATAATTTTTAAATGCATTTTAATTGCAAATATATTATGCCAGATTTTCAAATTCTCACTGAAGTCCTAATGCCCAATTTTTGAAGATAAGGTACCTTAGATTATTTCAGTTCATTTGTTTAATAGCAGAATATTGACTATTACACTTAGCTACATTTCCTTTTTTCTAAGCTTGGAATGAAAGCAGACGTCACAAATAGAATTTTATCACTTTTACAAAATTCTACTTTGTACCATGAGTTTTAGTAACCTGAGAAATGTGGCTAAATAAACCAACTGGTTTTACAAATAGGTCACATCCATGTTTCCTCCAATGCCTTACTTCCCAGCCTCCTCAACCAATCCAGTTTTATGTTTCATCTCCCTAGATATCTACTGGTCAACACATTGCCCTTTTCAAGGTCAGAAAATGCCTTCCTTGTTGACAAATTTAATACTCTTTGTTATTTGAYCTGTAAATAGCATCCAACTCTTGATGTTTCCTTAGTTTGTTAAATGCGTTCCTCTCTTGCTTCTAAGAGTGCAGCTTCATTTTCTGAGGATGCCACTGACTAGTCTCCGTTGTTGGACCCATAACTCTTCTTGGTCTCCAAATGTTCCCATGTTGTAGGGATCAGGCTTGGACCCTTCTTTTTTCTCTTCCATATTCTCTCCCTAAATAAGTTCATCCAGTTCTATTCTTTATGTGCTTGCTTATTTGATTTAAATTGTGAAATGTATCATAAACATCTAAGAAATATTAAGTCCAAAGTCAAAAGTCTGAATAAAAGATTCAATTTCCACCCAGTTCTGAACTCATTCTTCCTTTAGTTTTCTCCACCATGCTAAATGTCACCATTAGAGTCCTATGACTTGTAACTAGTTCCACAAATTTCACAGCTTAAAACAACAAAAATAAGTGTATTTTTCATAGATCTGGAGGTCAGAAATACAAATACTATTTTTCTTGATCAAAATGTGAACTGCCTACAGTCACCTCTGGAGACTCAGGGGACATCATGCCTTGTCTTTTTAGCTTCTGGAGGTGGCCAGCATCACTTCACTGTCTGCCTCCATGTCTCCTTGCCTTCCCTTCTTCCAAGTTCAACTCTGCCTCATTCTCTCCCTCTTAGATAACGTTTGTATTTAGGGCCCTCCTAGATAATCTAGGGTAATCTCCCTAGATTACCCTAGATCCTTAATCTTTTCTTTCCATACCTTTATTTGATTTATTTATTTTTATGAGGTGCTGAGGATCCAACCCAGTGCCTCACATGTGCTAGCCAAGCGTTTCACCACTGAGCTACAGCCCCAGCCCCACTGATTCTTAATCTTAATATATGTGAAGTCTTTTTCTTTTTTTAATAGGCAACAGAAGGTAGCTATCTTCATTCATTCAGRCTTCCATAACCAAATGCCATAGAGTGGGTAGCTTATTTAAAAAAAAGGGAAATTGATTCATTACAGTTCTGGAGGTTGAAAAATCCAAAATCAAGGTATTGACAAATCTGGGGTCCAGTGAGGGACTGTTTCCAAATTGGCAGATGACACATTTTTTGCTGTGCCATCATATGGTATAAGAGGCTGGCTAACTCTGTAGGGTCTCTTTTATAAAAGCAAAAATCTCATTTATGATGGTGGAGCCCTCTAGAAAGACTTCATAATAATATTACCATGAGGTTCACAACTTCACCATATGAATGTTATAAAGGGACACAAATATTCAGATCATAGCAGTAGCATTCTGAATAATAAGATGTTGATCCCTCCCCTTAATAATGTTTTCTTATTGTGGTAAAAATATACATATTTCTAACATAAAAGTTATTATCCTACCTAATTTTAAGGGTAAAGTTCCGTGGATTCAGTGGCATTGAATACATTCACATCTCAATCATTTCTGTAGAAATATAAAGGCCTACATATAATTCAAATGATATTTCAAGCAACCCTAAATAATTAAACCAATCTTGCAGAAGAAGAATAAAGTCATAGGACTCAAATTTCCTAATTTCATAACTTCTACAAAGCTAAGGTAGTCCCAACAGTGTGGACGTGTTATAAAGACAGACCTGGTATAAAGACAGGGACAGAAGAGATAGCCGAGAAACAAGCTTTTGATTTGTAAAAAAGAATGCCAAGACCACTCAATGGAGAAAAGACTGTCTTTTCATCCAATAATGCTGGAAAAACTGGGTATGCACTTGCAGATAAATAGTCATACCATTACCTAATACTATAAACAAAAATATTCTCAGCTCCAGGGCTGTTCTTTGATTTATGATTACTGATTCAATCCCTTTACTAATTATAGGCTTGCTTAGGATTTCTAGTTCTTTGTGATTCAATCTCAGTTTGTTCTGGTGTCTGGGAATCCATTTTCTCACTTTTCCAGTTTTTTTTTTTTCATGTACCTGTTCGTAGTACCCCTAATGTTTATTTTCCCCTCTGTGAAATTTGTTTATAATATTCCCACTTTAATATATGATTTTAGTAATTTCAGTCCTTTCCCTGCTTTTTCTTAGTATAGCCAAAAGTTTGTCAATTTTATTGATCTTGTTGAAGAATCATCTTTTAGTTTTGTTGATTTTTCTCTATTCTTCTTTCTCATTTAATGCTACTCTAATCTTGACCAATTCTTTCCTTCTGCTAGTTTTGAATTCATATTCTTCTTCTTTCTTTATTCCTAAAATTGTTTAGTTTAATTGTTAAATTGAGGTCTTTCTCATTTTTAAATCTAAGGGTTTATAAGTACATATTTTCCTCTTGACACTCTTTTTACATGCCTCCATGACTTTCAGTATGTTAAGTTTTCCATTTCATTTGTCTTGAGATATTTTCTATTTTGTCTTGTGATGTTCTTCTCTGATACATTAATTGTTTAAGAATGTGCTGCTTAATTTCTATAAACTTGTGAATATTCTAGTTTTCTTTCTCTTATTGTTTTCTAAGTTTATCCCATTGTGGTAGGAGGTATTTTCTTTTAGAAATTTTTTTAAGTAAGCTATAATTCAACCAACCACATTTACTAATTTTTTATTTTCCTTTTTTTTTTCTTTTTTGTACTTGAAATTGAAACTTGGGCCATTTAAGTCACTAGGCAAGTGCTTTACCATTGAATTGTATGTCCAGTCCCTCTTTTCACATGTTATCTTGTTACAAGGTCTTATCAAGCTACCCAGGCAGGCCTTGAACTTGGGCTTCTCCTGCCTCAGCCTCCCCAGTAGCTGAGATCACAGGCATGTGCCACCACACCCAGCCACAGTGACTAATTTCTATCCCGTTGTTTTTGCCAAAACCAAGAGGCTATCTTGAGCCCTTTGTTACCACTCTAATGAAATACATCACCAAATCCAGCCAGTGTCAAAAGCTATCATTTTCTCTCCATCTATATTATGACCTCCAACCAAGTCACTTCTATTACATTGTGCTGTTTATTTCCGTTACTACTCTCTGAATTTTTTTTTGTTTATTTATATGCTTGCTTTTATATTGTCTATCTCCATGGCTAATGTTTTTAAGGTATTTTGTTTAGTTCCTTGTTTGCAATAACCAAAACAAAGCCTGGCACGTAGAAAATAATATCAACACCTTACATGAATGGTTGATATAGGACAGTGCATTATACCTGTCTATTAAACAAATCTTCAGAATACTTCCACAAAGCAAGCACTACTAATTTTCCAATTTTTAGAGACCACAGAGACCAGAAAAAAAAGAGAGTTTATGTTCCTTTCCCAAGGTCACACACCTAAAAGGCTGTGATACTGTATAGGAACCCAAGGATTCTGGTCATAGCATCTATGTTCTCAGGGACTGAAACATGCCACTTCATTTAAAAAAACAATCTTTTTAGCTTAATTATTGCTTTACGTGCAACACTTGTGATTTTTTAAATTATGTCCTATTTGAACATATTTTTATTA